TTCCGCATAGGCTGTGCTTCTCACAAAGTTTCCCGAATGGGCTAATTTATTCGGTACGGGACGAGAAAAAAGAGCGTTCCACTGATTGCTCGATTCCATTGACAACGGGTCGCCACTGAGGATCGGTTCCGTCGGTTTTACTTCTAAATCGGTTGAATCCGGTACCAGAATCCCGCTGTCATCCTCTGCCATCTCTTTAACGACAACCACCCCGTCAGCATCTCCATCATTTTCGTCCAAAATCACCGATGCATTATTGCACTGTAGTAACCAAGCGGACACGGCACATTCTGGCGTATAGGAATGCTTTGTTGTAGTCAGATCGGCCTTTTCGTCCGGAATAGGACAATGAGATTCAGCTGGAACTGGTTCAAACTCTTTGATTGCCCCAACCTGAGTATTCGCGTGCGTGTTTCTTGTTGTCTGTCTCCTATCCACGGAGTTCGTGCTTCGTGCCTCGCGTAGCACATTGTTATTCTTTCGCAGTTTCCCAAGTGGGATATCTGTTCGCACATTGACCGGAGACGGACTAGGACGCATCAGACCATTTTGAACACGGAACCTGCTCACTGCTGGACTGTCTGACTTGGACAGTGGTGCGGCCACCACACGCGTACGAGACGAGTGAACTGGCCTCGCACGGGCCGTTTCGGGAATGTATCCATTGCCCAGAAAAACATGGTTTTTTATTGAGTTCACTGAGACTTCCTCGTCGTCGTCGTGAAATCGATTGGTGGATTTCCGATCCTTGTCGGATTTGGGGACCACGTCCGGGCTAACCAGATCAGGGCTACTGGTAGATACCTTTTTTATGTCTGGTCGAGGGACTCGTCTGGCGATGCACATTCGATTGAGTATCGGTTCACGAGTGTAGCTGGATTTTCGCACAGTCCTGAGGTTTCGAAGTGTACGGCATCAGACAGAAGCATGTTAATTTTAATTAGTATAAAGAATTTCAAAATTGCTTTAAATACGAAAAACACCAAACAACGAAAAATGTAGAGGGGCTAGTTATCGTTCTCCCAACCTTTGGACTGGAATTTCATAAAACTAAATTTAGAAAACAGCCAAACTAAGACAACCAATGGCGTCCAGATAAAACACAATTTAAACGCGTTACGAATAGTCCACAATGCGAACTATTCAAGTTACATGAGTTCGAATCATCAAGTGTACGATCTCATTAGTCACGTGATTCCAGAATTCAGTTCCCACTGAACAGTAATAGCACTGGTCAGTTTATGCACCCTTTCGACAATGGGCCACAAAGCCACAACATCTCAGTTATATTGAATCAGTTGGCCACCCCCCATCCATGTTTATACACGCATGCACATATGTGACAATTATACATGCAATTTAGAGTATTAAGCTTGGATTAGCCCATTCAATGGTTCAGAGACACCAGGCGCTCTTGATGGTCTTGGGTGTGGGTTTCAGTCCTTCGGGGGGGGGGGGGGGGGGGGGGNGGTTAATCCAAGCTTGATACTCTAGACCGATTGATCTGTTCGCACAAGGTGTTGGCCGTCGACCGTGTAGCTCAGGGGTAAGGGTTTGATGTCCCCACCCGTATAATCGCCGTTCTAGTCCTGACAAGGACACAAAAAGTTCGTTCAATGCTGACGAGTTCCAAACAGGACAGGAAACAGCTGTCCAGTTGCTCTTTGTGTCGGTCATCACAAACATTTCCATCGCATTTGTACACATGAAATCTTTCATTTTAGGATCAATCAACCGGACGAAAAAATGAAAGCAGAAGCTGAGTACAAATGGTGGATAATGATGCGAAACTAGTTAAACCGGAATAACAAGGTTTTTTGTGTATATATATGTGTGTGGCAGAGTGAAAAGAAACACCGTGAATACTGAACCTACTGTTCACACCTTGGACGCAGAAATGACCAATGATGAGTGATTGCACACCCCAAACCCAGTTGAGATTGAAACAGAGATGAAATTCATTTTGCACAGTGTGCGCATGATTGCGAAAACTGCTTTCGACATGGATGCATAAATCCAGTGACGCATTAGAAACAATTGCAAGCCACTTGATTTCATCATCAATAACCGATTTGTGATTGTAATTATTAGTTCCTACAGTCAAAGTTCATTGGTCAATCATTCTACCAAAGAGAAACGAATTCAAAGAACTTCACATTTTTCTTCTTGAGCACAGAAGTCACAAGGCGTCCGATTCAAACAACCTGCTGCAGAATCTCTTTTGACGAAGCTTGCCAAACTGTTCNGTTCACGAAGATCTGGGAAGACGAAACTGTACCCCCTGCATGGGAAGAACCTATGGTTACACCCATTAACAAGAAGGACTGTCGCAATGTCCGTTTCAATCATAGGGTGTATAAATCTGATTCCAAAAGCATCGAAGCTGTTAGTGACTGTTTTATTACATAGACTAAGCCCGTTTTGGGAGGGAGAGCCAAGTCTGAAAAGAGTAAACCGAGTTGTATTGGTCAAATCTTCAGCTGCCGGAACGACGCCACACATACAAGCGACAAACTACTATAATGTTTTTGGACACAACAGCGGCTTTCAACTCCATCAACCGCCCGGCCCTGCAGATTTGTTCGCTGGGAGGCCAATTATCGGAGAAACATTCTCCGCTTCTGAAAGCACTCTATCGTCAGATCTTGGAAAACGTTAGGGCCTATGGAGAGCTCTCATCCTCGTTTCCTGTCATTAGTAGGATACGACAGGGTTACCCCGTCCTCTGATTTTCTTATACTTTTCCATGTATGATGCATTGTAAAAGGTGTTACCCAAAGTAAACAATACTGATGTTAGCCTGCGTTCCCGAGGCAATGTCGTCGACTTGGAGTATGCCGATGGAAGAAACAACGAGGTGGGCAAGTTATGACGTGGTGCAGATGGTTAAAGAGATTGTACTCTGATTTGGATTCCATCAAAGCTTCCCGGGTGGGGCCCCAAAGACTCAGATTATCATTGCAAATGCGGGATATATATATATATATATGTGTGTGTGTGTGTGTGATTGGATTACATCACATGTTGGGCAGATAGACGCCTAAGTGCATCCGCTTCTGTCACGATCAACATGTAGAAAACAATGACCATACATCAATAGAGAACAGCAAATCAATTCCTCGTACCGACTGGATTTGACCACCGAAGTTGAGACCTGATAGGACTCGGAGCAGTCCTCGGAAATGAAACTGATCTCACGCGTTTGTGATCGAGAGCCATGCCTTAGTTCCACTCGATTGACGCCACGGCTGAATACAAAAAAAGTGGTAATCAAACGTAAGTAAAAACATGTCTACCTATAGTCAAAATATTCAAACTAGATTCTTCTAGTGCTGCGTTGAACAAAACAACTACTGTTCAAATTGAATCATCCAAAGTTATAATACACATTTGGTATCGAATTGTTCAATTCTCAACAGCAAACAACTTTATGCAACGGAAAACGTAGAATAAATTCAGACCTGTTTCTTCATAACCAATAACCATGCACTTTAGTGCACCGGTTTTGGTTGTCTTGGCTGTCTTTTGTCAGCCCATTTGAATAAAACAGAAGAATGAAAATTGCAATGTTGAGAGCAGAATCAAAAGAGAAGATAGAGAATTCATATCGACTGGGGTTGCAGCCATACTGAATAGATGCACCAGTGCTACTGTTTGCGACAGTCAGCCATATTACTCAGTGTCTCTAACAAACCGGTTACCATAACAAATATACATTTGTTCCTTATTTGTGTTTTCTTCTCAGGAAATCTATCTTTGACATAATTAGTTAGCAAGAACGTCTAAAAGGAAAACAGCGTGGTGGGACAATAGCAAAGACAGTTTTGTTTTATTTTTAACCTACATTTGTGTGTATTGGAAACCAGTGCTTTAATCTGATATTCGTGTTCCGGGCCGGCTTGGAAAAATAGCATCTATATCTAGGACTAGTCAAGTGTTGGCAGAATGTCATCGCATAACCTTATTCTAGTTCGCATTTTCCCGGGTGGTGCATCGCTCCGTGACTGATTCTCCTCGGACGATCCTCCACTGACGCGTAAGCAGCATAGAATTTATAACCTATCCTCCAATGCGAGTCCAACAATCACACGATTGATCGGGCTCATTCATCGATCGGACTGACGGTTCANTACAGGACGTGATGCTTGCTCAACTAACCCGAGCGAGGAGCCGCATCTTGTCCAGAACCTCAAATCTTCAGTATGCCCCTTCAACTTCAGTTATGCGAAACAAGATGGCCACCATAACACGGCTGGACAACAGGTAACAACTAGGGCATCACAAACATTACAAACCGGTGATCAAACAATCCCGTGTCCGGTTGAGGGATTCCAAGTTGTGGAAATTACGGAAGCTGGGGCATTTGTCAACTTGAGATATCTGTGGAGCCGTCGTAACATCGATTGTTTGTGAAGGGTCGAGTAAATGCCGCCACAGTTCGGTCAGTTCTCCTATACGGCGCCGAAACTTGGCCATTAAGAAAATAGAATAGAACCATCTGTGCGACGCTTTAGCCAGATGTCGAGAAAACCAATCCCGTGGTTAATCTCTTCTCCCAAAGTGAACGTGACGTTGGAATGAGCGGAATTCAAAATCCTGAGCAAAGTAGACACCTTAATATTACTGTCCACTAAACATAATATGTCGTCCACATAACGTCCATACAACTTGTATCGCTTAACCGTGGGCTTGAAAACAATATTCTTTAGCTTGGACATGAATAAATTTGCAAACAGAGGACCGAGCGGGGATTCCATTACGAATCCATCATTTTGGAGATAGATTTCGTCATCGAACTGAATGCTGTGTACAGAAGTACCATAGCTGTTTCACGTTGTCCAGGGGTATTGAATAATCATTAATTTTGTTTCCCCTTTTCTTTATAAAATGATGATATCTAAAGTGTGACGTATCAGCCAGTTGATGAGTCACCGAAAATAAGCTTGTTTGCTAAACTGCGTTTTCATTCAGCAAACCATCGGTTATCATGGATATGAATGATAATTTGGTCACTCATCGTTCATTCTCAAAACTAATTAATTATTTTCACATCTATCATTTCATCACAATTACGGATATTTATGTGCAGCGATTTGACCGATTGTCAAAAGGAGACAACCTGGATAAACATTCAGGTCAAATGTATTCTGATGGTCTTGAAGGACACAAATGTGTTTTATCAAGTGATACACACGTTGAACACATAGTAGTAAATCATTTTGAGTTGACTTTTTGAATGTTTTTGCTAATTCTTTTTCATTTTACTTCCTTTTATTGAATATACAAAGATACAATTTTCAGGAAGGGGGAAGCGGCCAATCAGAGGGCTGCCATACAACACACATGGGGAAAGTCAGGCGGTGGTGGTGGGATTCGGACTCACTCGTCCTCCGGGTGATAATTGGTGACGTTACCACCGGGCCACCACCGCCCGCAGACATCAAATTTTGTTGAAAACTGTTGCGTGTCCGTGGTTCCAAAGTCATGGACTGGTTGTGGTCGAAAGTATATTCGGTCAAAACCACGAAATCGGCCGGACAGGTGACGAAACCGCCACCAATAAATTCAACATTACACAAGGTTATCGTTTACCGAGTAGTAGGTCAAATATTTCTTAATTGAATTTTCGAAGACTCTCATTCGGAAGCCGTTAGGTTGCAAGCTATACTGAAGAACCAAACATAACTTCCATCCGGAGATGCAATCATCATCAATGGTACGTTTGGGGAAGTGAAAGTCAAATGGGAAACCAAAAGACACCAGCCAAAAGCGTCGCACGGAAATGCATGCTTAAGGATTGTGTTAACCTGAAAATGAAACTCAGATAAATACTATTTACTAAACCC